ATTTGAAAATAATATCAAAACATGTTCAACCTTGTTTAAATGATCAAATCTTGTAATTTTAGTTGAAATTTAGTTTCAAAGTAGCTGAAAAGCAATTGAATTGAAGTGCATTAATTTTACCGGAAAGTTCAGCTGTTCAGATTTCGGTAAAAATTACCGAAGTCGGCGATAATTTCTAAGTGTGTAAAGTTCCCAGATTTTTCTTGAAATTTTCAGAATTTCCGTCAAGTTTACAAAACATTCTAAAAATGTCCTGAACTTTCCTGAAATTCGCAGAATTTTCCAGGAGTTCTATAATTTTTTCTGAACTTTTCAAAACGTTCCAGAAATTCGTTGCAATTTTATGAAGTTCGCAGAATTTTCCTGAAGCTTACCGGCTTCACTGAAATTGGCAGAATATTTTTGAAATTCGCAGACTTTCTTGAATTAGGTAAAATTTTCCTGAAATTCGTAGACTTACTTGAAGTTCACAGACTTCCCTAAAGTAGTCAGATTTTTCCTGAAATTTGCAGAACATTCCCAAACTTTCCTGAGCTTTTCTGAAATTTGCAGAATTTTCCAGGAGATCTTGAAATTTTTCTGAACTTTTCAAAACATTCCAGAAGTTCGATGAAATTGGCAGAATACTTTTGAAGTTAACGGAAATTCCCAGAAATTCACAAATTTCCGTGACTTTCTATAATTTAGTGAAATTTTCTGAAGTTTTATAAAATTTACAGACTTCCTTGAAGTTCACAGACTTCCTTGAGGTTAACAGACTTCGATGAAGTTCACTGATTTTTCCTGGAGTTCTCAGATTTTTCCTGAACTTTACAGAATATTCCTGAAGTTTGCAAAGCTTTCCAAAAACACGCTGCACTTTCTTGAAGCTCGCAGAATTTTATTCAAGTTCATGAAAGTTTTCTGAATTTAAAAAAAAATCCAACAGTTTATTAAAATTTTCCTGATTTTCACCTAGGAAACTAGAATGATCAGAAATTATTTCTAAAACCAGCCGATGATCTCTGTTAGGTCTCCCTGAAATCCTCAGAATTGTTTCTTCAAGACCTCAGTTTGATCCGGTATTACTTTAAAGATTTGTAGCTCACCGACTTCACTGAAATTTGCAGAATACTTTTAAAATTCGCAGAATTTCCCAGAAATTCACAAATTTCCGTGAAGCTCGCAGACTTTTTATAATTTAGTGCGATTTTCAGAAGTTTTATAAAGTTGACAGACTTTCTTGAAATTCACACCCTTCCCTGATGTTCCCTGATTTTTCTTAAAGTTCGCCGATTTTTCCTGAAAAATTCAGAATATTCCTGAATTTTGCAAAGCTTTCCAAAAATAGGCTGCACATTCCTGGAACTCGCATAATTTTATTCGGGTTCATAAAAGTTTTCTGAATTTATCAAAAATTTCCAGAAGTTTTCTTGAAGTAGCCAGAATTTTTTCTGAAATTCGTAGATTTTTCTAGAAGTTCATTGAAATTCCATGTAGATCTCTTTACTGAAGTTTTGGAGAGAACTTCCCTGGAGCTCTAGGAAGAGCATTTCTCAAGTTCCGGGAAGAGCAGTTCTGAAGTTCTGTCTCTCAAGTTCTGGATAGAACTTCCATCAACATCTCTGAAGTGCTGGATAAAACTTCACTGGAGTTCTAGGAAGAACTTTTTTGCAGTTCTGACAAGGATTTTTCTGAAGTTTGTTTTGGGAATAACATCCCTAAAGTTCAAGAAAGAACTTCTTTGAAGTTGTGGGAAGAACTGCTTTGATGTTTTGGAAAGAGCTTTCCTTAAGTTTTGGGAAGAACATCTCTCAAGTTTTGAGAAGAATTTCCCTGGAGTTCTGGGAAAAACTTTTCTTAAATTCTAGTAAGAAATTCCGTTCAATTCTGGGTAAAACTTGCCAGAATTTGTGGATTGAACTTTCTTAGAGTTCTGGGAAGAATTTTCCCGAAGTTTATTTCAGGATTTTTTTTTAGTGTACAGGTTTACAGTTTACAGTTTACAGGTATTATTCTGAAGATCTTAAAGTGTCCAAAAATTTAAACCAAGTCTTTCTGTTTTTCACCCATGATACTAGAATGATCAGAAATTATTTCTAAAACCAGCAGACGATCTGTTAGGGTTCCCTGAAATCCTCAAGATTGTTTCTTCAAGATCTCAGGTTGATCCGGTATTACTTTAAAGATTTGTTTGAGTTATCAGACTTCGCTATTGCTTGCAGAGATTTCCATGAGTTCGCAGAATTTTCCTAATGGAGGCCAACATCAGTGAAGTTCTCAGAATGTTCATGAAACTCGCCGCCTTTACTGAAGTTGGCAGAATATTTTTGAAATTCGCAGACTTTCTTGAATTAGGTAACATTTTCCTGAAATTCGTAGACTTACTTGAAGTTCACAAACTTCCCAGATTTTTCCTGAAATTTGCAGAATTTCCGTGAAGTTTGCAGAAGATTTCAAAAAGGTGCTGAACTTTCTTGAAACTCGCAGAATTTTCCAGGAGTTCTTGAATTGTTTTTTTAAACTTTTCAAAACTGTTCAGAAGTTCGTTGAAATTTTATGAATTTCGCAGAATTTTCCTGAAGCTCACCGACTTCACTAAAATTTGCAGAATATTTTTGAAATTCTCAAATTTCCGTGAAGCTCGCAGACTTTCTATAATTTAGTGAAATTTTCTGAAGTTTTATAAAGTTGCCAGACTTCCTTGCAACTCACAGACTTCCCTGAAGTTCCCTGATTTTTCCTTAAGTTCAAAGATTTTTCCTGAAGTTAACAGAATATTCCTAAATTTTGCAAAGCTTTCCAAAAATATGCTGCACTTTCTTGAAGCTCGAAGAATTTTATTCAAATTCATAAAAGTTTTTTGAATTTATTAAAAAATTCCAGCAGTTTATTAAAAATTTAAGATGTTTTCGTGAAGTAGCCCAAATTTTTCTGAAATTCGTAAAATTTTATAAAAGTTCATTGAAATGTATTTACTGAACTCTTCACTGAAGTTCTGGAAAGAACTTCCGTGAAGCTCTGGGGAGAGCATTTCTGAAGTTCAGGGAAGAGCATTTCTGAAGTTCCGGGAAGAGCATTTCTGAAGTTCTGAGAAGAAATTTTTTGAAGTTCTGGGAAGAACTTCTCTCAAGTTCTGGATAGAACTTCCCAAAACATCTCTGAAGTTCTGGACAAAACTTCACTGGAGTTCTAGAAAGAACTTTTCTGTAGTTCTGAGAAGGACTTTTCTGAAGTTTGTTTTGGGAAGAACATTCCTGAAGTTCGGGGAAGAACTTCTTGTTGTGGGAGTTGTATAAAGAGCTTTCCTGAAGTTTTGGGAAGAATCTCCTTGATACTTTGGGATGAAAATCCCTCAAATTCTGAGAAGAATTTCCCTGGAGTTAGCTCTGGGAAAAACTTTTCTAAAATTCTGGAAAGAACTTCCCTCCAGTTCTGGGAAAAACTTGCCTCAAGCTATGGATTGAACTCTTCTAGAGTTTCGGGAAGAGTTTTCCCGAAAATTATTTCAGGGTATTATTTCAAGTTTTCATGTTTATCAGGTATTATTCTGAAGAAAAAAAAGGTATCCAACAATTTAAATCAAGTATCTCTGATTTTCACCCATGATACTAGAATGATCAGAAATTATTTAAAAAAACCAACAGATGATTACAAGCCTCCCTGAAGTCCTCGGGATTTTTTTCTAGACCTTAGGTTGATCCGGTATTACATTAAAGATTTGTTTAAGTTCGTAGACTTCCCTATTACTTGCAGAGATTTCTATAGGTTCTCAAAATTTTCCTGGGGGAACCAGACTTTACTGAAGTTCTTAGAATGTTCATGAAGTTCGCCGCCTTTACTGAAGTTGGCAGAATAGTTTTGAAATTCGCAGACTATCTTGAATTAAGTTACATTTTCCTGAAGTTCGTAGACTTACTTGAAGTTCACAGACATCCCTGAAGATTCCTGATTCTTCTTAGAATTTACAGAATTTACGTGAAGTTTGCACAACATTCCAAAAAATTCCTGACCTTTCCTGAAATTCGTAGAACTTTTCAGGAGTTCTTGATTTCTTTTTTTAGTTTTCAAAACTTTCCAGCAGTTAGTTGAAATTTTATGAAGTTCGCTGAAGCTCACCGACTTCACTGAAATTGGCAGAATACTTTTGAAGTTAGCAGAATTTCCCAGAAATTCACAGAATTCGCATATGTTCGCAAATTTCCGTGAAGCTCGCAGACTTTCTATAATTTAGTACAATTATCTAAAGTTTTATAAAGTTTACAAATTTTCCTGAAGTTCCCAGATTTTTCCTGAAATTTACAGAATTTTCCAAAAATATGCTGAACTGATTTCAGGAAAGAACTTAATTAACAAAGTTAATAAAAGTTTTCTGAATTTACTGAAGTTTTTACTTGAAGTTACCAGATTTTTTGTGAAATTCGTAGAATTTGCATGAAGTTCACTGAACCTTCATGTATGTAGATCTCTGAATTTTTCTTGATTTTACAAAATTTTCCTGAAGGCATTTTCTTGGAGTCTGCAGATTTTTCCCGGTTCTTTTTTCAAATTCCCGGGTTTTTTCCCTGTTACTTTGCAAATTTCCCGAAATTTCTCGGTTTGGGGTTAGATATGATTTAGATACGAAACGTTGTCAGTTTGACCTGCAATCAATGTCCACTACTCTCCATTTGCTTTTAGAACTACTTCACGGCCAATGAGAATGACCCAAATTTCAGTTTAGTTTACTCATAACTCACATAAAGTGCAGGAACTGAGCGATGAGTAAATTTGCATCGTGTGTTTCCAGGTGTTTCCAGGATTTTCCAGGAAAAAATTCCCGAATATGAGAAAAGTAAAGAATGGATTCACTAAGTCTATTAGAACTGCTCCTAGACTGTGTATAATTTTCGTCAATTTTCCTTATTTTCCGTCAGATTTTTAGGAAAATTTACTCACCGCTGAGTTCCTGCACTTTTGGCGATTATGAGTAAACTAAACTCAAATATGGATCGTTCTCATTACAGTTTCAAACAACTTACCTTTGAACACATTATTCTTCTTGCTCTTGACAGGTTTGTACGGTTGCGTTCCGGCTTCCGCCATATCGATCACCGACACTCCGTGGCCATCCCTGGCGTTCACTAGATCCCCATTTTCGCCTTCTTCCATTCCCCCGCCACCACTATCCACATCGGTCCCTCCCGCACCCTTCACAACCGGAGTCGCTTTACCGCCCTGCTGCAGTAGCTTCGATTCTTCGTCCGCCGAATCACTCGGACTCTTCAGATTCCCGGCACCGCGACCCTTTCCGACCGGATCCGGTCCGTACCGTCCGGATCGGTTCCCATTCATATTGCTCTTCCGTGGCGGATCATCTCCTCCACCACTAGCACCACTTCCGACGACTCCGATAGCACCACTTTTGGCGGCATTCTCAGCCATTTTGTAACGGGTTTTTTTGAACTTCAAAATTTTGACACGCGATTCGCGATACCGCCGCGGTTGCTCGCTATATCCACACCACACACCGGGGGCCCGGAGAACAGGTCAAGGTTTCTTCCTTCGCGCGCACACCGTTTTTCACTTACGCTTTCAACAAATCAACATCAACGACGACCGGCGACCGGCGGCGATCATTCATCTTAACTCACAGCCTTCTTCTATTCATGTGATGATCTGCCCCACTTGGAACAACATCAAGGAGTGAAAAGTGCCGAGACACAACACCCAGCACCGAAACCACTTTGTTACCGATGACGGCGGCGGCGACGGCCGGAGATCACTTTTCCGATGTTTTCCCGCACAGAATCACCACCACAGTAAATAATCTCGCTTGGAGACCTTCGGTGCGGACGCGGATTTCCAATTTTATATTTTTATGGCGCTTTGTTTTCCATGGATTAACATGGATTTTTACACAAACGCGATGCTCCCGTGAGGCATCGCTGCTTCGGCACGTGGGGAGTCTAGTGACATGATGGGTGAAGGTTTTTTCTGCAATGAGAGAAAAGTTGTGCGTTAATTATTTTCTTTTTACAAAACTAATCGATAACTGGTACGAAGTTCACATCCTATTTTGTGGAAAATGCTGAAAGATTTAGGTTAGAATAGTTGCAAATTTTGACGCATCTCTTCAACTCGCACAAATGACACATTGAACAGCGTTGTAAGACCGTTAAGCTACTGCGGATACTTAACTCCTCCTTCTCTAGCAGGAGATTATCACCGGAACAATGCTGCCGCAACCGAAGCGCAAAGGGCTCTCGTTATCATCATCGCTTCATCTTTTGAGAACAACACTCTCTGACACCCTCGCAGAACAGGAACAAGGTGACGTAAGAATTTCTAATCCCTCGGGCTAGTTGCGAATCGTCGCCGTTAAGATCAAGATGCTTGACACAATTTACCCTCCCTGGAGAGCGTTTTGCGTCATTGCGAAGGTTAGATTTCTGAGATTGCATACCACACACATACACACACAAAAAGGTTGAAGTGAAAATCCCTGAGCTTCGACAGTAAATCATCAAATTTGAATAATTAATCCAAAATGCTACCCCCAACGGCAAACAACAATGCAACAGGCTGACCACTAGGCAGCCGGAAAAGGTCGCCACATGTGAACGATAAACAAATTAATATTAAGGGGATGTGAACCCATTTGACATTCCTGTACAAACACTTGCCTAATTTAGTATGCAAATTTCTTTCCCTTCTCAGTTGGTTGCAAAAAAAAAACACCAGCCGAACCACCACTATGTGGCAAATTATGATAAATTCATGTAAGCTTGGTACTACAAACTGCTTTCTTTCCAACGGACGGAAAGTTGTCACTGTTTACATTTCATATCTAGCTACTCACGACCGGATGGATAAGGGAACTTTCGACGGCAAAATCCCCGCCACTAATGAATGGGATTCATTCATTCCGTTTTCTCCCAAGCTGACCTAGGTCGGTTCTCTGAGTTATCATACGGGACCGTGAATTTGACAACCCTTTTTTTTTCGTGTAACTCTAAGCATCTCTGGTTAGTCGATCGGGACCTAATGTTGACAGGGAAATAAAGCGGTTCCAGATGTGTCACAAACGGACACAGAACGAGCGAAAAAGAATGATCCAAAAAGTGTGTCAATTTCGCGCCACCGGGTAACCGCATTCCTATCCATTGCCCTTGCTCGGTTATGCATGCGAGCAGTTCCACGCCAAATGACGAATCGGAAAAACTCGACCTTCTCCGATTTGCCAAAAACTTTGCATAATTGATTTTGTTTAGATCGTTGGCCAAAATTAAATTTGTTATGGACAATCCTACACATTTCTTTCCAAAAAATTCGGCCATTTTGGTTGTTGTAATTTTTTTTCAAAATGGCGTCCATGAAATTTTTCAATAAATTGTACCACGAAAAATGTCACTTCTGATCGAAATGACGCGTGAGACAAAGTTTTAGAGAAAAATTAAGTCTTTCTGGGAAAAATGTACAGTCAACTCTCAATAACGCGATATTTTATATAACTCGATGGATTCTGCGGTTCTTTTTTTTCTTTGTGGTGTCCTAGTAGACGGCTAAGATCGCTCACGGTCTATCTCGCCACCGTGCTTGTCGTGTTTCGTGGTTCGTTGTTGACTGGTCGGTTTCGATGTAAATTTGGGTTTTTGTTTTGTTGATACATAGGGAAAACGGATGTAATGTCGGCCTAAATACCCCTAATTTGGGCCCATACATAAATTCAACAATCGAATAAATTTTCAATAGTGTCTAAAAATATCCATTGGTACCGTCCCGTTCATCTAGATAAAATTGATAAATAGCAGATTTTTAGCGATGGCCCCAATCTAAGATCCATAAGCCAACAATAGTGCCATTTCCCCTATATGTTACTACCGACAAGATTCCTATAGTAAGGTAAATAGGGACCGTACTATAGGAACCGGCATTAACGAATATACGTATCATATGGGATTTGATCTAATTGCCCAAGTAACATTGAAAGTTTTATCATGGTTTTAAAGCTTTCTACAAGTCCAAGTCATGGTCTACAGAACCTTCATAAAACTCAAATTGTTACTTGGGTGGGGACAAACTCTTATTGTAGAGTAATTTGAAGAGATAACTTTCTGGAGTCTTGTGAATAGTTATTAACAAGATAGTTCACCACCTGTTGGGAAAATTAGGCATTCGAAAAGTCACAGGTCTGGTCCTCCGGAACATCCGGAACATCCGTAAAAGTGGTCAATTCATGAAACTGATCCTAGAGCTCCGTGTTTTTTGTCGAAATCACTCATAGAGGTTTTATCAGAATTGATTCGGAGTTGTGACCGGAATTCGGAGTCTGGGGACCACGAGATGGTCCACCGGAATATCCGGAATATCGATAAAAGAGGTCAAGTAATGAAACTGATCTTAGAGCGGCGTGTTTTTTTTCTAAACCACTCATAGACGTCTTATCAGAAGGAATTTGGACACTGGGGACCACGTAATGGTCCTCAGGAAGATCCGGAACATCGATAAAGGTGGTCAATTCATGAAACTCATCCTAGAGCTTCATGGTTTTTTTTTCGAAACCACTCATAGACGGCTTATCAGAAGGAATTCGGAGTTTTGACCGGAATATGAACCCTGGGGACTACCTAATGGTCCACCAGGAGATCCGGAACAACCGTAAAAGGGGTCAATTCATGAAACTGATCCAAGAGCTCCGCGAATTTTTCGATACCTTTCATAGACGTCTTATCAGAATGACTTCGGAGTTGTGACCGGAATAACGGGTGTTCAATAAAAAATGAGAATGATTTCAGTGCCGTCCAGCGCTCTTGTGAGAGCATCGCGACTAAGTTGCGTCGTACGGCTGACCAGGGCCCCTTCTCCAATATTCATTGACGTTTTTTTTTTTTGAAGAATAAACATTATGTTTTTAATAAAAAAATACTGAATTCGTTGAAAAACAAAATTTTTCTACTAGCTATATGACTGAAAAAAAATCAAATTTTTTTATTGAACACCCGTTATGAACCCTGGGGACCACGCAATGGTCCTCCGGAAGATACGGAACATCCGTAAAAGTGGTTAATTTAGGAAACTGATCTTCGACCATAACTTTTTTTTTTTTGAAAACCAAAACACTCACACAAGTCTTATCAGAATGAATTCAGAGATGTGACCGGAAGATCCCGAACCTCGCCCAGAACATCTGTAAAAATTACCATTTCATGAAACTTTATAACCCCGAGATTTTTTCCAGAAACTGTACCTCAAAAAGTTATTTACAGTGTGGAACCAGCATTTGGACCTCCCATGGCTACATCCGTATTCTTCAAAAATATTTGAAGAACTGCAACCAGTGAGTAGGCCTTCTATGGCCAAATGTTAATCGTCCAGAAGATTCGGAACATCTGTAGAAGTTATAAATTAATAAAAATCATTCCTAAGTTCCACAATTGGTCCTCCGGGAGATCCGGAACATCTGTAATTATCATTTCATGAAAATTGATTCATCATAACTCCACGTTTATTTTCCTGTGCTTCAACAATTATTTACGAATTTATTGCAATTTTTACGCTGGTTCGTGTACTTTCGATCGCTCTTAACCCTTTGTCTCTTAAGGTCAATTTAAGCCCAGGCCACTTTGAAAGGCTGTATTTTTTTAATTTTTCGATGGATTTTACTAATTCTTTCGTGACTAGGTGCTTCCACCAGAACTCTGTAATAGGGGAAATGGCTCTAATGTTGGCCTATGGATCTAAGATTGGGCCCATCGCTAAAAATCTGATATTTATCAATTTTATCTAGATTGGGTCGCTATTGAAAATTTAGTCGATAACTGGGCCCAAATTAGCGGCATTTAGCCCAAATTAGGGGCATTTAGACCGACATAACATCCACTTCCCCTACTAGATGAAATCTGCTCTAAAAAACTTGAATGCATATTTATTGGAAACATTTTATTGAAATACTTACGTTGCCTGTACCCTGGGGTCAATTTGACCTCAAATTCAAATTGCCGTATCTTAACGAAATTTCTATGGATTTCAAATGCTTTGTAATGTAAATTTAGTGAGCTTTCTGTTTAATTCACCAGAATTTTGTTGAAGGGGCGGATCTCTCGAGGGGAGAGGTCGTTTTAAAAATACACCCATATTTTGATGTTAGAGATGATTATATCACGAGATCCCAACCACATAGGGTGTTGCTTCCTTCTGCAAAGATTTTCAAGAATACAAGGTCTTCAAAACTATGGATAGTGTAAGACAGAATTTACTCTTTAGAGGCATGCCACGAAGGTTCGCAAATCGATCCTGACCGATCATTTCCAATTACGCTGAAACTTTGCACAGTTGTTCCTTTTTAGTAAAGGCGCCATTTTGTGCTCTCAATTTTTCATATTGAATTACGACTGCTTTTTGAAAAGGGCCTGTGTAAAAATAGTACTAATGAGTTTAAAAATATATATTGCCGAAACGCTTTGTTCGATTGATTTGGGGTCTAGAGCAAAGTTGTAGATATTATTTTGGCAATTGTGTAAAAAATATACACTGTAAAAAATTTCGTTTGTATCAATGAAAAAAAATTATATTTATTATTAAAAAAGTTAATTTCTCAAAAAGTACATTTTTGAAAATTTTCGTTTTATGCCTCATTGAAGCTCATAATGTTTGCTAATAACTGGCAAAGTTTGGTTATGGTTTTTTTTTAATATTTCACGATTTTTACATTTTCATTAAAAACACATTTTTTAACCGTGTATATTTTTTCAAGAATTGCATTTTAATTTTGCACAACTTTTCCGAAGACACCATAGCAATCAAGCAAGCCGTTTTTGCAATGTATTAAAATGTTTATTTTATAAGCGCTTTTCTACACAGGCCCTATCGGAAAAGTAGTCGGCGTTCGCTATTACAATTTGTAATAGCGAATCCCGACTACTTTTTTATTTTAAAATCTCAACTTAAAGCCACAAAATACATTTATCTGCTCTTTTTTACTTTTCTTTTATTCG